AAGATATTGGTCAAAATAAAAAACTCACGCTCACGCTCGCATTGAACTGTATATCAGGCTTAACACCAAAAATTCTTTATACTAAATATTCGTTGGCATCACCTTCGTTTGCGTAATTTTCTAGAATAAGTGTAGAATAGCGACTGTTTAGCTATAAAATAACCAAAAACGCCGATTGACAGAAATTTTTACCCTGATTTCAACGATACCAAATTTATTTGGCGCAGGTAAAAAAAGATATTAGAGGTTTATTTGCTTTGTTTATATGTGTTTTTTATTATCACTAAATTGTTGAAACCCAAAAGTAGATCATGATAAAATATGTAATATCGATAATAACTTTCTAAATAATATGAATTGCTTTACCATTAATAATGCAGTTTTTTTCAAAAAAGGTTATTTCATGAAAAAATAACATTTGTTCGTTTTTTAGTGGTTTTGGTTTATAAATAGAAAAAGCTATAAATTATGTACATCAGCTGAAAGACAAATTAATCTCTTTTTGGCGACGTCATTAGGTTTTTAATCGGTTATATAGTTCATAAGATACTAATATTTAAGAAATCTAAAAACCGAACTTTAACCTTCTAGGACGTCTTCATTTTTTAATTGCGCCTTAAAAGTGAGCATAAAAAATTCGATTGATCTGCATTTTTCGATTTTGCATAGCTGAACGGTCGGTATTCTAGATTTGTTCTTAGAAATGACGAATAACTTAAATCAAAAATGCATATTTTTATGTATTGTTTAGTATTTCCATTAAAACGCCAAATATATTGCACATTCGTATAGAATTGATAATACACATTTTACTTTTAACTGTATACTTTGCCAACTTTTTGTAGTACCTTTCTACTACCGTTTTCGCAAAAGGCTATCACATTCTTCCCCTTTCTTCTACTTCCAAATACAAATCTAGATAAAGGAGTGTCAAATTTTAACTATCACAAATTACATAACCTTGTATTATTGAATCATGGTGATAGAACGAGAAAACCAACCAGCCAATGTACACCCAATGTACGTTTGAAAACAATAAAAAGCAAGAGCGGTGCAGTAACCGTCAATATTTTACAAAATTAACTTTTAATTTTAAAGCAAAAAAATGAAACATTGTGCGGAAATGTGCTGTTTGTAGTAGCAAAAAAGTAAGGAAAATGAAATCGTATTGCTTGCGTCGCTATGTTGTACTATTTACTTAAAAATGAGCCGCATCAGGGAAAACGGGCAGACGCTACATGCCGGCTAAGGCGCTGGAGAGGTAGGCACGCATCGTCACAGTATATCTTTTAAGAGTGGTTACGGTGATCGCCTCAAATGTAACTTATACATCTCTTGCTGCTTATTCAAATCCGCCGGTTACCACAAAGCTTGCACCAATTAATTTCAGGGAAAAATTTTTGTTTGACTGCAAAAAAGGTTATCAAACAGTAGTGTTCAATTATAGAAAACCCGTTCACTGTTTCCACTTTTTTATATATAGCTAGTTCATTTTTATTTTTGAAGACCCCCTGCCTTGTATAGCAAGAAGTCGCTCCTGTGTCGACAAGAGCTTTTAAACTTCTGTTTAATTTAGCATCGTAGAGGTTGATGTAGGGAAGGACATCCGTTCAGGTTATTTACCCTCTGAGCCTTTTCTTGCGGTGTAAAGCTGTTATTGCTTTTTCTACGCCGCTTTACACAATGTGTCTATTGGGCTTGTACCCCCAAAAATTATTTAGCTGGAGCACTTGTGCTAGCCATATTTAAATTTTGGTTTATAAAGCCACCATTCTGTTGCGGCTTAGTATT